TATATATATATATATATCTGTACAGCCAGAAAGAACAGATAGTAGTTCGAATACCCTACACCTCAAGCTCAGGATTATCATGTGCACGCAAGAGCCTATCTTCTGGTGCATGGGCAACATGGACGGCGATTTCGCTGGGCCTCTTGGGTACTGTTTGCTTGCATGAGGGGGTAGCGAACAGAGTTTTGTGGTATTGTATGCTTGTCTAAGGTGTGGGGTCGGGCTCTGAGACACGACAATGCAACGGACTCAACCAGTCCTAGTCTGACTGTAGCGATACCAATAGTTGCATCGCAGAAGCAGCATCAAGCTAGTGATGCCATCAAGTATAAATGGTGACCAAGATTGACAGTAAAAAGAGTCGTGACATCAGCAACACCGTCACAGTGGCAAGCACAACCAACAGGAAAAGTAAGTAAGTAGTCAGCACCAGTTCAGGCAACACGAACAGTAGTCGTCATAGCACCAGAGTGGAGGAATTTGTAACCGTTTAGGGTTTAGGGTGTAGGGTAAGACACGCAGCCCTAAACCCTAAACAGTGTCAACAGCGTTGGGTTCCAAGATTCAGGGCTTAAGGGCGACAGTCTGACCTTGCTCAAGTCTTTCTCCCCAAACTGAAGCCAAGGACAAAACCTCGAGCCCTACTTAGGGGGTTCACGGGTAGTTATAAGTAGGACTACAAGCAGGGTAACTGTAATTCTAACCCGTATACGGGGCTTATTAACCCACTTATAACTATAACTGCCCATGAGTCTCCAAGCACACCCAAACTTCGGCGCAGTCTTTGTAGCTCTGCGTCTCCTACGTGCCTTCTCTGCAACGTATGCTAGGTTCTAGGGTATACTTGGAGGTTCATGGGTAGTTATAAGTGGGGTTATAAGTAGGGTAACTACAGTTATAACCCATATTAGGGGACTTATAACCCCATTTATAACTACCCATGAACCTCCAAGTAAGGCACTCTGTGCTAGGGTTCCATAGAGCGTGCTGTGACATGCTATCAGGTCAAGGGACATCCCAGACAGCCTTCATCCAAGTCAAGCTGGTTCTTGACTATAAAGGTCTAAATAGCAAGCCGTTACAATTCCCACCTATAGTCTTTATATGACTATACATACTATACTACGGTATCCCCCCATTCCCCCCGAAAAGGATATTGAAAACCAGCTCTTTGCCCCAGCTTAATTGTCCGCATGCATCCATCTCCTGAGGTCTGGCTTGTTCACTTCCACCTGCCCTGAAGCCGTGTCACATTTGGAAGTGTACAGCATCACCGCGGGTGCCTCGATCCGACCTGTGATCATGTCGGTTTAGGGTTTAGGGTTTAGGGGGCTCAGAGCCGATTTGTAGCACTTTATTGTGGTATCCAAGCCGTCTGGCACAAGCTTGCCCGCCAAGGTGTGTCCATGTTCCTATACTGGCTCCTGATCATGAACCTTTCGATCTTCTCGATGCAGATATCCGCCTTTGTCCTGGTCTGTGGACAGGTTCTGGGCGAGCTGCTGCTCTTTCTGACTCGCGGCCGGAACAGTTCGACCGCCTCATCAATCCGAAGTCCAAACGCAGCACCGCAGCCCTTGCAGACCCCACTAAAGTTTGGGATTGCAGGAACCTAGACCCGGCATGAAGCCGTATTGGAGCCTAAGACCCTATAACTCTGGCGGAAGGCTTCTCTTAAGTTCGGCAGAGTCGTTAGCTGTTCCGAGCCTTCGAAGCGGCAGAGCACTGCCAGAGCTGTGTAATGTAAAGGTTTGCTTTTATTATACGGCTTTATACAGGTCTGGTGAAGGATCTACGCTTGAAGCGTCTTGCAGTTGACAGGACTTCTAGCATCTTCAGCCCTGCGACACTTCAAGCGTGCTCGGTTCTGCAAACCCAGGACGTCCTTGGCTTTCCTGATACTGGCCTTTGCGACATCCGTGAGCGCGATCTCCCATCAGCTTCCTGACTTCGCAGGCAAAGGTTGGTTGGGAGAAGTACCCTCAAACATGGCTGGTGTTACCGTTGTTGCCGTGGTCTTGCCGCTAAGGGGCTATTTCTGTCACGACGACGGCGGAGACAGTTACGACCAAGATAAGCCGTGAACTTGTATGTATTGCACCAAGTGCCAGAGTACGTAGTGACTTACCTAGTCTGGTTGAGTCTACAATTCGCCGTCCTAGTTGTTGCTTGTCATAGCCGTAGCAGCCGTAGCAGCTGCAGTAGTAGGAGAAGTAGCCGTAGCCAGGCAGGCGCAACCATAAACGGGAATGATGCAAGCTCCTTCTCATGCATGCAGTTACGATGACCAGGTCCAGCGCGGGATCCCTAAACCCTAAGCTCTAGACCCTAAGCCCTAAACCCTAAGCCCTAAACCCTGGACCCTGAACCCTAAGCCTTAAACCCTAAACTTAGGTTCACTCATGCAAAGGTTTCTGGGCTTCGCTTCTGCAAAAGGTTATGATGATTATTGTTCAACATCATTTCAACAGAATTGAATTATTATGATTACTATTTTTAGTAGTACTGCTTTTATTACTACTATTATTACTGTTATGACTACTATTAATGCTATTATTACTACGATTACTATTATTCCTATTATTAGTAGTGTTACTATCATTAGTAGGGTTATAGTATTAGTATTTCGAACCCACCTTGCTTTCCACGTCGGAGGGTACCGCAAGTAATCTTGAGCATGCCGCATGAGCAGCAGCTCTGCTGGGCAGTCTGCTGGGCTCTGGGTTTAGGGTTTAGGGTTTCGGGACCCTAAACCCTGAACCCTAAGTTTTGTTCAGCGAACGCAGAACAAACTCTGCGGAATATCTGCTGGAGGAGGGGCTCCAGTCTAGGATGGATGGGCTGCCTCAGTGGCCATTGGCCAGGATTTCTGAGTTATCAGCTCAACAGCGCATCGGGGATCCGCCGAAAGACAAAGGTCACGAATGAGGACCCTTCAGAAAAGAATTGGACGGCGACGTGGCCACAATGCGTCGTTGACAACTTTGGATACTGCCCCCACTCAACAACAGTTAAATACTATGTATAGCACAAAATAGTATACATATATCATACCCTTCATCGTAGCCCTCTCATAGACTGTTTCTGTCTGTGGTCAGTACCGTACTGTCAGTACCCCAGATAAACTCTGCATGACTCCTCCCCTGTCCGCCTGTGCAACGCACTTGGAGGTTCATATGTGTAGTTATAAGTTGGGTTATAAGTCCCCTAACATGGGTTATAACTATAGTTCCCCTACTTATAACCTCACTTATAACTACCCTAAACCCTAAACCCTACAGAACCCTTAAAGGAACCCTATAACCCCACTTATAACTACCCATGAACCTCCAAGCAGGTATCGATGCCGCGTCTCTGACCTTCTTGGCCATTTCCCTGGGCCTGTTCCCGAGCGAGAAGTTCCTGGAGATGAAGGTGTAGTAGTAGTAGTAGTAGTTTAGGGTTTAGGGTTTAGGGTTTAGGGTTTAGGGTTTAGGGTTTAGGGGTTTAGGTAGTAGTAGTAGTAGTAGTAGTAGTAGTAGTAGTAGTAGTAGTATTTGCATTATGATGGCTATTGTTAGTTGTTTTTCTGTTATTACTATCATTGTAGTTACACATATACCATCATGATGGTTACTAGTATGATGTGTACTTTTATTGGTTTTATTGCAATAAAAAGAAGTCCTGATGTTTGTCGGGTTATCTCCAGGCTCATCATTGCGCTCATCGCCAGTGTCATTGCTGTAGCCGTTGTATTACATCGTCGTGGTCATTATCTTTGGTGTTTCCATCTTCATAATCATCATGCCCATCACCCTCATCATTGCTTTCATCGTCATATCATCATATCACTCACTATAGTCTCCTCCATCGTCAACATAGTCGTCAGCTGACTGGTTTTGCTCGCAAACGTCGTCGTCGATGTCGCGCTCGTGCTCATCATCAGCATCGTCTTGACCATCATTGTTCGTCATCTTCATCACTATCATCACGACCTTAATCACCAGGACTACCAGCACCATCACCATCATAGTGAACGTCCTATTCTCATCCTCCCTTTCGTAGTCTTCAGCATGATCCTCTTACTCCTCTCACTGTCTTTCCGGGAGGCCTCCTCCCGTACAGGGTTCTCAGGGTTAGAAGAACCAGATAGTTCAGCAAGTGCAAGTATCTAAGCACTTGTCATAGACAGCACTAGCGCCTGACGCAGTGATTTTCGGACTACCCACAGGAATCAGTGTGGGTCACACTCTTGGTCGTGCTTTTCGTCATCATCGTCATCGCATTCCTGCTGTGCCTTGGCTGCGAGCTGAAGTCACGCCGCGTTCTGGTGAGCTGAAGCGAACGCTGCATGCAAATGTATCTGCGTCAAGCCGTCCAAAAACAACACCCTGTGGCGTACTGTCTACTGCCACAGAAGATTGTAGGCTGAAGCCATCTGGCCAAAAGACCGTCCAGCACTTTACTGAGGAACCTTCTTGTCGCGCAGCTGAACCAGGCGTACGCCAGTGTCTACGTCGACATGCAAGGCTATGCACGCGTCTGGGACATTTTCAGGTGGGTAGTTACCGCTACAGGAGCCTTATAGAAGGTCTATATACCTTATGCCAGCCTTATAGAAGCCCTATAACCCTAAACTCCCCACCTGTAGTTTTCTTCAAAATGCGAGGACCTCGGCATGTACAGCACTGCATCGACAGCACGATTCGCTTGATACGGAGCTTGCTCGCTTCTTCTCTCTTTCTCCGGATTTATATATATATATATATATTATAATATATTATATATATAGTATATATATATATATATATTTATTTATATTTATAGCTTCTTCTCTCTCTTTCTCCGGATTTCGTATGCCGAGGTCTGAACCGAGCCGAGGTCATCGTGCAAGCGGCTCAGTTGGGGGTCTCTGCCAAGAAGCCCCGAAGAAGGGCACTTTGTATAGTGCGACTTTAAACCGTCTTAGGGCGTCACCTGATATATTTAGTAGGATTTGGCGATCCCCCACCCCTTGAACAGCCGAACAGCTGCAAGAAGCTCGATGCGTGAGAAGGATTGGCCGTCCCTGAGGCAGCGGTGCGCTCACAGGATGTGAGCACTTAACTCTTTCCACATTCCTCACTTTGCTAATATAGGGATCGGAATACTTAGTAAGATTAGTACTGTAATATACCACATACACCAAAGCCCTGTTCTAATTGTTCAGGCCGCTATAGTAGTCCATGTTGCGTGTTTCTGCTTGGAAAGTGTTGGAAATTCTCGAGGGCCTTGCGCCCGTTTTGTGCAGCCTTTCGTCGACTTCTGAGGACGACGCTTGAGGGAGTACGCCAAAGCAGCACCGGCCCCAGCATGGATGCGTGGGGGTTCTTCCAAAATTTGGCTTTCTAGACCATACTTGGAGGTTCATGGGTAGTTATAAGTGGAGTTATAAGTAGGGTAACTATAGTTATCACCCTAATCAGGCGACTTATACCCCCACTTATAACTACCCATGAACCTCCAAGTAGGTGTTTTTCCCTAGGGTGACCGATGATTCAGAGAATCAACAAAATCTGGACGCCCAAACTTGAAGCTCGTCGATAGACCCCCAGAGAGTCTGAGTGTGTGAAGTGGGGCTTGTATTCGGGGGACGCTCATACAAAAGGCACTATATATATATATATATATGTATATATATGTATTATATATTATATATGATATATTATACATTTCATATTATATATTATATGTTATATATTTTATTTTATATATTATATTATATTGTATATTAAATATTATGTATTATATTATATACTATTTTATATATACAGGTTGTATGTATGTATATATATATATATATAGATATTTATCGATATAGAGATGGATGCAGCGATAGATGAATCGATAGACCTGGCCTATTTTGGGATCACACCCTGCCGTCACAGATATCAGAAACTGACAAACAGGAAACACGGCAACAATAGACTCATGACAGGGTACCTGAAGGGTAGTGACCCTACCGCTTGCTATAGGACTCTGCGGTACTTAATTTTTGTTTAGATAATCTCTTCTATCGAGACAAACAGGTAGGCAGTAAGTAGTGCAGAGCCTCGAGTAATAGGCCCCTTTTCTTTAAATGCCTCATGTTAGGATCCCTTACAGAACTCATAGAAAAAAGAGAGGGCTCTATTAATTGACGGCCTACATCAGAGATCGAAAGCCTTGCTCTCTGAGGTTGGAAGCGCTTTCTGCAGAGTCTCCGCTTGGCAGCTGGGTTGCTTGTAATGTCCCTTTTCGACCTTTCTTAGCTTTGCTGCGCTTTAGGGCTTAAGCGGTTTAAAGAGCTGGGCCCTAAAGGAATAGACAGCCCGACTTGGAGGTTCATGGGTAGTTATAAGTGGGGCTATCAGTCTCACTAATAGGGGTTGTGATGATAGCTACCCTACTCATCAACTCCATATATAACTGCCCAGGAACCTCCAAGTACGGCTCAGGGTCTGTAGCCTTTCCAACAGATGAACCCCACCTCCTAGGCCCCCAAGAACTCACCTGACCATAGATCTCTTGGGATCAGGGTTTAGGGTTTAGGGAGTTTTGGGCTTCGGGTTTAAATCATGGGATCAGTAATCTCAGCTTCCCCAAACCAGGTACAAGTACCAGAGTTTTCTCAAACTGCCACTTCCTAAACTGTCACGAATTACCAGCCTAAGCCGTAAACCCTACCCCCTCAACCCTAAACCCTAAACCCCTAAACACCTAAACCCATTGCCACCAGGATCGGCCCCTGGAGTTCAACGAGGGCGATGTGGGGCTTGCAGGCGGGGGGTGGACGGTTGGATTCAGGGGCTATCGGAGTGTGAGGGTAAGGGTTAAGGGTTTAGGGTTTAGGGGTTTACGATTGAGGAGTTAGGGTTTAGGGGTTTAGGGTTTAGGGGTCAGGGAGCAAGGCTCAGATTGTGATTTAGGGCCGGGCTGCTCTTGAAATTTGCTACATCTTTGTCGGGCGGCTGGGCATGCTCTTAGGGAAAGTAGGAGTTGCGGTGACAGTTCGTAGTTTTCGCAGCATTTGGCAGACGTGGTTGGTGATGGTCGCTTTTACCGTCTTGGTTGAATATAGGGACTTACTGTTGGTTTGGATGTAATAACCCCCCCCTGAGGTTGTTTTGCGCCGGTGTCTCTTGGGGCCTGGTCTGGGTTGGCGGCTGGCAATAGCAAGTCTCTGGCCGTGTCGGGGGTTCGTAGTATCAGTAGTATTAGTAGTAATAGTACTGCTAGTAGTTGTACTAGTAATAGTAATACTAGTAATAGCAGCAATAGTAGTTAGTCTCAGCTTTTGCTAGTTTCTCAGCCTGGCAGCCTATTTGTTGGGGATTTTGGGCGGGGAGTTTTCTTTTGTCACCCCATTTTATTCCCACCCCAGGTCCAAGACCCTAAACCCTAAACCCTAAATTCAATTGTCTAGGCCATTCTGGCTTGGGATCTCTACGCAATTGAATCTAGTCCTCCGCCTGGGAATCCTGGATTCGGGAGTTTTTTTCTTGTCACCCGGTTCATTAAATCCAATCGAACATTAAATACATACCAAAAATATTTTTGGGTTTCTTCATTATCGTTATAGTATAATATCCCTCAAAACCCGATTCTAAACGTTAAAGCCCCTATAGTAGGACGGTGAAAGCATGGAAAAAGAAGTTGGAGGATGAGCTTGCGACTGCAGAGAAAGTAAAGGAAGCAGCCTGGAGGATACACTCTCAGGGCCCAAAGGGTTTAGGGTTTAGGGTTTAGGGTTTAGGGTTTAGGGTTTAGGGTTTAGGGTTTAGGTATCCCAGAGCAACTTCGGTCCTTGAGATGTTGTTTTTTTTTTGTGCTTTGTTGGGTGGGGGGGGGGGTTTACCTCCCAGTGGGTGAAGTCGGATTGCTGATTAGCCCTCGAGCACCTGGAGCTTTATTGCGAGCTGCATGCCAGGGGGAATCCAAATTCTGGAGCCAGCCAATGCCGCTTGCCCACGTTACGTTTGTCCGAGCGTGTCACAATAATATCAGAAAAAAGCATGGAAAGGGGTGAACTTTCATGACGGTTTTCTGGATGTCATGGAATTGTACACCCTGAACCCTAAACCCTAAACCGCATCTGCATTCTGTAGCAGCTTTAGGGTAGCTACTGGTGCCTGCTCTCTGGCGCTCTTCCTGTTGAGCCGCCCTCTGTTTGCATCATGTTAATGTAGGGGCCTCAATAATTGGAATAGGTCTTGGGGCCCATTATACTATAATCATAATATGGAACCTCCCCCAAAATGGCACAGGTAAGTATTTATATTGCATGGAGGACATGTAGCTTCTCTAGGCGCCAGGAAATAAAGAAGGATCCTGCTCAGCGCAAGTGTTAAGCCCAAATCTGAGGCAAACCCTACGACGGTGGAGGGCCCAGTCACTCCTCTTCTCGCGACAGATTCCACAGCTTTGTGTTGCAAGAGCAGGGCATGCTGGATCTGAGCTATCTGGCTAATGCGGCTTTAGTTCACTTGTTGTGCTGATCTTATGCTGCACAGGTCAACTGCAATACTCTCGATGACGATGACGATGACGATGACGATGCTGTGTATGATGGTGAACATCATCGTGACCATGATGATGTTGGTTTTGTTGATGACGATGATGGTGATCATCACCATGATCACCATCGTCACTATGACCATCGTCATCATCAGCATCACCATGACTACGGTGTGGGCAGGCACTGTGACGACAAGGATGGTGATACTGATGATGAATGCGACATTAGTAGCGAGACTGTCACGTGTCACTGGTCTGCACACATGTCTGTCTGGCCGTCTTTCTCAGCTCTCTAACTCCTTTTGTTCATCTCTCTCTCTCTCTCTTTCGCTTAGTCGTTGGTTCTTTCTTCCAGTCTTTTTTTCTCTCGTTCTTTCAGTCGTTCTCTTCTCTGCATCTCGTTCCCTGTTTTTCGCTCCCACCGGTGTCTCAGCCTCTGCAGCGTACAAACCAAGTGACCTGCAGCACCACTTTGGCAGCCTAACACCCCTGAGCACTGCGAACCCCAAGCCCACCATCCAGAACCTTCAAACTCTAGGCCAAAGGCCTTCAAACCCTACAGTTCAACTACTCCCTAAAGCCCCAGACACCATTTCTGCTGGGCTTGGCTGCGAATCTGAAAGCCCACAGTGCTCAAGGCCTCAACAGTGGATTCTCTTAAGGCTTCAATCCTGAGCCCCAAACGCCAAGCACTCAACCTGAAACCCTAAAATCAGACTCCTCAGACCATTCATATCGAAGGCTGACGCCCTCCCCCAACTCTCAGCCCCACATCCCTACTGCACACCAGTCTACACAAAGCCCAAAACCCTCAGCCCAAAACTGTAAAACCTAAATCCAAAGGCCTAAACCCGAATCCGAAGACCCTGGTATAGAATCCTTCCAGTAACCCCTTATAGGCCCCTAAGCCCTAAACCCTAAGGCCCCTTTAAAAAGGAACCCCGAAGGCGCTCATCCCCTCGGTGCTTTATAGGCCCCTTTAAAAAGGCTAAACCCTATAAACCCTATAAACCCTAAACCCTATAAACCCTGAACCCTATAAGCCCTATAAGCCCTAAGCCCTACTCAACCCCTTCAGGCTCCCATCCCCTCGAGGTGGATTCGGTTCGTCGTTTCGGCGGCTCCACGGCGCTGTCGCAGCCCTGGCCGGAGGAGCGCCATTGGACTTCAGAGGGTTTAATGCCCTCTTAGTTTCAGGAATAGACCTTAAACCGTAATAAGTCAGGAATAGACCTTAAAAGCGTAGTAATTCAGGATTATACCTTACACCATAGGGGACTTCAGAGGGTTTGGGATGGAGGCTTTAAGGGGTACCCAGAGAGCCCAAGCACCCCTTAGTTAAGGAATGGACCTTAAATGGTAGGGGCCTTAATATTATGATTTTCGGTATATTTCCTAATTAAGGGGTGTTGGGCTCTCTGGGAATAAGGGTAGTATAAGGATACTACGGGGTTTAGGATTGCGGCTTTATAAGGGAGCTTATCGAGTATACGGATACTACAGGGTTTAGGATTGAGGCTGTATAGGGGTTCCTCTAAGGGTATAGCGGTACTATAAGGATACTACACAGGGTTTAGGATTGAGGCTTTATAGGGGTTCCTATAAGGGTACAACGGTAATATAAGGATGCAGAGGGTTTGGGATTGAGGATTTATAGGGGTTCCGATAAGGATACAACGGTACTATAAGGATACTGCAGAGGGTTTGGGATTGAGGATTTATACGGGTTCTTTTCAGGGTACAGCAGTACTGTAAGGAGGCTACACAGGGTTTGGGTTTGAGGCTTTATAGGGGTTCCTCTAAGAACAACGTTACTATAAAGATACACAGGGTGTAGGATTGAGGACTTATAAGGGATATAAGGGTTCCCATAAGGGTAAAACAATACTATAAGGGTAAACCGTGTTGTGGTGGTAGTAGCAGTAGTAG